CTTGGAGGTCTTTTCCAACTCGGCTGACTGTGATTTTATGAAACTAACCCCATGTTTTTTCAACCTGTTCCTCTATTATTATTATTATTTCTCAGAATACACTGGTTACTGTAAGGCCTCTTGGAACAATACATAATTATGGATTTCTGGGGATCTCCCTGCCCTGTTCTAAAGAAGAGCAATAAACAGCCCCATAAAACAGATGACTATATTGCAGTTTATAGCTTCTTCCAACCCTGGACTTGCAGTTAACTGCACACAACAGCACTTACCTTTGTTGTGTGACATTGCATACAGAAGACAGAGCACAAAGAGGGCATAGTAATCATCTTCAGCACAGTCCAGTGCATTATAGACCATGTCAAGAAAAGGCCTGTGGAAAGGGGTAATTTAAAAAGAGTTAAGAAAAACCAAACATATCTACAGAAAAAGGAGTATCTCATCACACATGCAGCTAATGGAAGGGGCAGATTTACAGCAATGCCCATTGTGAGTCTCTGTTTCAGAGCAGTCAGACTACAGCCATGCCCTGTATGTACTCTCTCACATTAATGCTGATGTTTTAACAGGATTTCTTACATAATACTTTCCCAACAACTGATTGTTCACACCTTTACTGGGTTGTTAGCAGCACATTCACATGTATGCAGAAGTGTTGTAAAGCTTGTTTTGAGTGTCTACATAAGTAACTTCAAGGAGCTGCTTCACTGTTTCCTAAGTGAATCTCACCTTGAAACTCATGCACTAAACAGATCTGAAAAGTTTTTACTACTTCAAGTAAGTAGTTTTCACCAGAAGTTTGGAGGAAGCTACTTTTATTCTAAAACAATCAGACACTTTACTGTCCCAACAGTTACAGAAAAGCAAAATGAACAAGGAAAAAACATTTGAATGGAAAAAAAAGAAAGCTTTGGACTGCAGATGAGCTTTGTTTTCCTGAGTTGAAACATCTGTAACTTGTGACACATATACACGAAGTTACAAACAGTGCCAAGTTCATCCTTTACCTGTACCCCAGAGGGACCACAGAAGTAAATTTAATCCAGAAGCTGTTTGGGCAGATCAGACATGGCTTGGAGTCAGCTGATACTAGCACAAGCTCCTTGCCTTAAGTGGACTTGCATCCAATCAGTCCAGAGCACACAGAAATTAAAGACATTTCCACAATTGTCCCAGACAAACAAAGAAACAATCTATCAGGGAAGTGTCACAGCCACCAGAAGACAACAGTTTAGAACCCTGACCAGTATTTTTTAACAGAGAAGGGAAAAAAATTCCTTACAACACCCAAATTACAAGCACATAAAATACAGCAAAATAACATCGAAGTCATAAAAACAAACACATTTCCCTGCCTGCAAACCTAGCAGAGGAGAAACATCCACTGCAAACTCCTCGCTGTGGTTAGCTGTGGGTCACAAGGGCTACCAGAGACCAGAACACAACATACTTCAGTTCCTCTCCCAGACCTGTGGCGCCACCATGGTCACACTTAATGTGTCCCAGTCAGCCACCGAGCCCCAGTCACAACAATGGGCTCAGCTTCCCGTCAGCTCCACCACCTCACCAGCATCTCTTTTACTGAAACAAGGACCAGAGCAACAGAACATACTGTTCCCTGCTCAGCCCGTGACTCTGCAGGATGTCTGAGCACTTCTGAGGCTGATGATCAGCATCCTCTCCCATAAATGCCACCGAGTTACATCCCCCTCTGCCCAAGGTCAACACTGCTCTAAGCACCTGAACCAAATTTCCCACATATTGTAGGTCTCCAAATGCAGGCTGAAAGAACCTAAATGTTGAGAACAAACCAAGAGTAACTTCAGACTTCCTAAGCATTAAACAGGCTCTGCAAGCCTCACACCACCCTCAAATGGAGCTTTTAACACAGCAAAGGGAGTTCAAGGTTTAAAGCAGAAATAGGACCAAGATATCCAGGGTCAAGATTACTAAAACACTTAAGTGCAAGATAACACTAGGTCTGTTTTCAGGCCAGCAATAGACAGTAACTAACCTAAAACTGACTTATGCTATAAAAGTCATATTTAGTATGACTTTATTAAAGCCAATGTTTTTAGCAGGTCAAAGCTGCTGAAATATCAGCATTAACACCAATATCACACAGTATTAAATGACTTCTGCAATCTCTCGTGCATTTTTCATTATTTTGCCCCTGCATACTAATTTGATTTGTGAAATTACATAACTTGAAAAAAATATTATCACAGCAGCAAGAGAAATCATTTTAATTCCAGATCCTTCTTCACAGCATCTATTCATCTGCATTGTCAGAGTCTCAGTCACAATAATCTGAGCCCAAACCACTCATCAACAGCTCCTCATGTAGACTAAATACATGACAGACCCAGAAAAACTTCAGATATAAGAAAGGACCAACAAAAGCCACAACACAGTATGGAAAAACATGAAAAAAAAAAGCTTTGCTGTGCAGCATATCATGAGAAAAGTAACTTAAAACATGTCTTTAGCTTTGCTGTGTAGCATATCATAAGAGAAAAGTAACTTAAAACATGTCTTTAAGCTTAAACTTTCCAGCAGTGAGATCCATCAGAGTAAAATCACACCTAAAATACTTAAGCTTTCTCTTTTATCTTCTTCACAGTAGTAAGAAGTCCAAGGGAAATTGAAAACTTGACTTAGCAGGGGGTTGGGGCTGGATGATCTGTAAGGTCCATCCCAACTCCTAAATTGTATGATTCTATGACTCAGTGATTCCAAGCAGTGTAGGACAGAACCTACACACACTCGAGCAAACCTCTTGAGAAATTTAGCTGCTGTTTCAAATCCTACATTTGGCATAGACAATAACACAAAATCTGGAGCTACAGCAGCTTCTCCATGGATATTTCCAAAAACTCACATAGAAAACTCAGGCCAGAACTGCCCTGCACAAGGCCTTATCCTTATCTGAAAGCTATTCTTAGCTCTGCACATTCTTTGAAGTTGGTTATTTTCAGGAAACATGCAGGCTGCTGTGAGATCATATCTGCATATCAAGAGAGCCCTGAACTGCAGACGTTTGCCAGATGCATTGCTCTCTCACATCCAAGTATCTTCCACTTTTCAAGCCCCAAGTGTCCTAGGTGCTTTAGCATTCAGTGCAGTCTCTGCCCATTTCTTTCTCAGAGTCATTTGGCACATATTTTAGTCAAATTACCAATAGTCTAGAACAATGTATTTTAAAGCCAGTTTAAGTCAAGGTTCAATTTCACTTTTACAATGAAATTAAATGTTATCTTTATTAATGAATGTAATCTAAGCTACATCAGAGCTATAATGGAGACAGAATGAAATTCTGGGAACAGCAGGCAGCACTTCCCAAGTTTAAAAATAAATTTTCAATCCTATCAAACATGTGCATTTCCTCAAGGGCCACACTTGCAATTACTTTTAAGCCAGATACAGGACATTCAGTTTCTTTCTTTTAACATCCTACTAACAGGAATACAAGATTCTTACTGAGGTATTTTATAGCTATTTAATACATCCAAGTTTAAATTCTGAAACGAGGGTGATTTCTGCTCCAAGAAACTCTGAAAAACTGTATTTCCTATAGAAGTTTTCCATAACCCTAAGATATACTAATGGACCCTGGAAACTCTACTTAGGTTAGAAGGATTTATTTGTAACTACCACTACTAAAATTCAGCCCTGAACTGAGGATTTTTCCTTGTTTTTTTCCCTATAGGTGCATACAAAATTGACAAATGTGACCACACATGTAACTAAGAAAATTTCTGGCTTTATTTAGAGGTTTAGAAAATTCTGGAATGAAAACATTTATGTACTGATTTTGTTGTGTTAATGCTATTTAATTTAACTTTACCAACTTAATGCTGCTCAGTTGCCATAAAGGAAAGCACAGACTTTACAACAGAACAGGATCATCTCTGAAATTCATCAGCAGAGGCTACATCTCACTTTTCTGCAGATTCATCTCTCTGTGACCCAGAACAACCCTGTAATTTTACCTGGAGGCAGATTTGAAACATGCCTTAAGAGAAGTGGGTTAAGGGGAGGGCAAGGAAAGAAACAATGCAGCAAAATACGTTACAGTTCTATACCTGCTCCAGTTTGTCACCTCACTCCCAGAAGCAGCTGCACTCTTCTCTTCATCTGTTGTGTTCTGCTCTGTCACAGTGGAGATAGACAGTTCTGACAGCTTACACCTCTCCATGATCACCATCTCTATCTCTACAAAACCAAAACACACCACCAAAATCGGGTATTTCTAACAAAGTTATCACAAGCTCTTTTGCACTTTCTATTTGGCATTAAGAGGTATAACCATAAGCTCAGAATGGTTAAAGAATAGAGAGATGTAGGCAAATTTTCTTCCCAATAAAGAACTTTGCTTACATTACTTTAAGGAATTTAACACGGTAAGAAATGTATACATATACATTCATATCTAAAGAAAATATACATATCTTGGCAAATAAACAAGCACCAGGAAGCTCCCTCCCCACAAACCACAAGAAGGAAAAGCACAGAACCACTTTCTGAAAAGAGGTTTCTTTGTGAGGATGCTGGTGAGATTGGGCCATGGGTGGGCACCTGTTTCCTAGAGGGTGTGAACATCTCTCTGCACTCACAGCAGACAACACACCTGATCCCCAGGGCTCTGTACCTACTGAGTACAACTATTGGGACCCAACATAGCTTCTGCTTAAGAAGTTCTGACAAAAATGATAATTCAATGCACCAGTTTGAAGAGCTGATCATTTCATAGTTTCTTCATGTCATGGCAGACAACACACCGTCAGTTATGTGACACCACTTGGGGAAAACATGGCACAGACTGCTTACCTAAATCTAAATTCAGCCACGTCTGGACAGGACTGTCAAAGCATAATGCTCTTGTTTTCAATTGCCTGCATGTAATTCTGCTCATTTTTCTCAATTTCTGCCTCAAGTACATACTAGTTTCTGATGTACACCCTTCTGACACCTACTAACCAGGAAAACGCACAGCTACAATATGCTGTGACACCACCCACCTTAGAGAAGCAATTCTTCTTAGGTTTGCATTACATCAAAAATCCTGAACATGTACAATTAAGCAATCCAAGAGTTGAAGCTGTTTTCAGTTTTGAGCTATTTGATGTCATCTACCAAGTACTCTCAGCACACCTGCTGAATTGTATCAGTGCAACATGCATAACATCCTCCTGACTAACCTGGAAGGGTGAAGTGGCCACACCACTTGCTTTACCACAGAAGGAAAAGCTCCAAAGTTGTCAGAAGTCTACTTATCAAGTGCCTTATGACCACAAGGTCCAATGCCTGCATTTGTGATAAGGGCTGAAGCCCAGGGCAAGATCTGAAAATCCTTTCACACCTTTCAGTCAGACCAGGAGTACATGTTCTGACAGAACAATTTAACCTGAGAAAATGATACAGCCAAAAGGACTTTCACAAATGTAACAGTCCCACGTTTACCCAGTGCAACAAGAGAACAAGTCACATAACAGATCACAACTGGGTCTACACAGCAATTCAAAGTGCCCTAAATTGAAAGCATCATTTTTATTTGCTGGTTTACTCACCCTCATTTTCACTGCTTGTTCTTATGCCCTTGGAACTTGCTTCTGTACCCTTAGCTTTATCAAGGTCATCTTGGTTATCTTCAGATCCTCTCTCCTCTTCATCCTCTTCACCCACATTTTTATAGTTGGGTCTTTTCTGTATCCTCTTCTTCCCTTTCTGTTTGTTAATTTCAAGAGACCTCTCAAGTGTTTCTGTTGGTTTTATGAAACATCTGATACTTGACTTTGCCTGTAAATTTTTAGAGTTTATAACTCAGTAACAACCAAAAAAATCCCACAAGAACACCCCCAGGACTTTTCTTTCGGGGAATAACAAAAAAGTAGCATGAAAGTTGCATAATGTATTTCCCCCCTTTCTGCATTTACTTCTTACAATTGCTTCCTAGAATCAGGGAGCTACTTTCTGTATGGAGAATGCATGTGCTTAACATCCTTGTGTTTCTCCCATGCTGTTAGCCATGGGAGCAAAACAACACATGAGACCAGTAAACAGGGAGCCATGAGCTGGCTCACCTCAGGAAATAATGAGGAGAAAAGAAATCAACACACACATTCTGTTCTGCTAAACACAACAAGGCTATATATTTAAAGCATTCTAAAATCACTTCAAAGTAACTGACATAGTATGTGCTTTATTATACAACAGTTGAGGTACTGCTATTTTATCCTTTTAAAATGTCTTTCACCCTTATTTTCAGTAATGGGTTATCTTGTGCAATGTGTGCTGGTAAAATAAGGCAGTTCCAGTAATACCTTCTGTGGGAAGGAGAAAGTAGGTTAAACAAGAAACATGCACTAGGCAGAACTGGCCCACAGCTGAATTTATGCAGGAAAACAGCTCTCACAGGAAGCAAGGCAAACCCTCCTGTGATCAGCAGATCTCCATGGGTACTCACTGCCCATTCCTAAGTATCAGCACTTAGAGCTGATGGTCATTTCTGCCCTGAACTGAATTTCAGTAAAAGGTGCCACTTGTTCTTGTCATGGCAACTGCCAATGCTCCCTGCAGTAAACCATTCAGGGTACTTTGTACTTATACACAGCAACTGCAACCCTTGTCAGCTTCTGGTTTTGTTAGGCATTCTTTACTCCTTTAGTCTCCTAGCAAGAGGACACATAACTCTGCTTCTAGTAACCTCAGTCCTTACTGTCTACACCTCATTCCACTTTAATTCACCTTATCAGGAAGAGGAATATAGATATGAGGCTCTACTTTGCGTTTTAGAAACTATGTGTTAGTTAGAAACTGACAGTCACACTTCAATGTAAACATATCAAGACATCTAAGGGCCAAGAGATGAGCAGTGTTAGGTACAGGGCAGGGGTGTAGAGGTAACTGTGGCTCATCACAACACACAGATATCCCCAAGACAACAAGCTCAGGAGAGTATCCGAATGGTTAACACAGGAAATTAGAACAGAAAGGAAGCAGTGAAAGATAAATGTGGCTCTGACTTAAGAACAAGCAATTCTACACTCAGTCAAAAAGTAAATTAAAAACTTGCTCATCACTTTTCTCAACTAACCTCGAAACAAGCAATTCTAAGGTAACTTCTCAAAGTTTCCAATATTCAGTAGAAGTTGCAATTTCTTTGCAACAGAAAACACCACAGTAATAACTTTGTAATGATCATGAACAACTTATAGTCCAAAGATCAGCCCCTGAAATGGGTAACAATGCTCAAAAAAACCAACTTTCTGCTCTACGTAGTCCCATCAGCAACAAGAAACTGCCTCAGTGTGACCGGTCTATGCCTCCACATCTGCAGCTGATGTTGTCCTCACTGTGTTGAGCTGTGCATCAGCAGAAGACTCCAAGCAATACAAGCAGCATCAATGAGAGCAGCTCACTTGCCAGCAGAGCATGAAGCTCTCTAGCTGCAGAGCTCTTTGTGCACATAACCAACCCCACCACTGGGCTTTCTGACAGCACAGGCTTTCCCCTCTGTGGTTTCATTGAAGAATAGGGTTGAATTTACTAAGAATGAAAGTTTCTCCTGTGGAAGTTTCTCCCCTCACACTACACTCCCTGTAACAAAGCTCCCCCTCTAGCAGTTTCTCCAAGGGTCTGTTGCAGAGAGCCTATACTCCTATTTTTTCCCTGTTCAGGTATGACTGAATTCCCAGTTTACCTGCTATGAGGACACCTCTAAGTACAGTAAGAAGCAGCAACCAAAATAATACCACAAACATAAGAGAATAGATGAACAGGAGTTTATAGGAAACCCCTAATACTTCTGACATTAGTGGGAGCACACAAACACATGCTATAGGTATTTTGCAACCCTGTACAGTAACTGTAACAGGAAAAGAAAATATCACTTCTGTTAACAATTGGTGCTCCACCCTCCTGCCACAAATTTCCTAGTAACAAAGCTGCTTCTGCACAACTAACACGACATTCACACGCAGCTAGCAGAAGGTCAGACATTTCCTAACTCAAGAGATGATCTTAAAGCATCCAGACAGCTCTGCCATTCCACTGTAGTTTTTTTCTAACAAACATTAGATTCTAAATATCAAGGCCAGCAGAACAAAATACCAGAGAACCCAAAAGCTGCTGGCTCAGCTTCCAATGCACAGTGGGAAGAAATTTGGAAAAGTTGTACTTTGTCATGGAAGAGTTGAAGCATTTCCCCCTTGAATCCCTCAGACCTATAGCCACTGCTGGAACGAGTGTGCATAAAACCAATCTACTGCTTCTTGTAAATGAAACATTTAGCCAGCAGCTGCTGGCCAGTCAGGCAGGCAGGAGGGGACACACTCAGGTTTCAGGCAGAACTACAGTCTGAGGCCCCTTACAGTAATGTCATAGCCCCTTCTTACTGCCATTCCCACACAGGCCTTCAGGAAGTAACAAACTAGCATTTCACAGACTGTGAAACCCACAACAAAAGGGAAAATATTATACACAGTACATTTTGCAGAGGCCCAGAGAAGCTGACTTTATTACACTTTGCAGAGGCCCAGAGAAGCTGACCTTAGTCATGGGGTGGATTATCAAGGTGCATCCTCCATCCAGACCATGCTATCATCTGAGAAATGCTTGTTAGGCCTTGGCAAACTGCACCTGGACTGAGTCCCTCTTGAGCTTATCAGAAACAGTGTCTGTTCCCAGGAATTAGTGCTGTCTAACGAGCTCCTGCTTTAACGAGCAGCCTTGGAAACTTATCTTTCTTAGCTGAACAACAACCCAACTAGAAGAACACTTTTGTTATCAAACCAGGATGGAAAACTGCAATAACTAAAGCTCACTCTCTTGTGACCCTACAAACAGCTGTCCCAAGTGAGACCCTTTGAGGTCTCGATTCCCAGAAGATAAGGGGCTAATGTCTATGTCCCAGACACTGATAACTGCACAGCTGTGGAGCCAGCCAAGGACTGCTGGTAGTAACAAACAACAACTGTTGGTAATAACCAAGGACTGTTGGGATTAACATACTGTGAGAAACAAAGAGATATGGCTGGAGAATGTGGGCCATGCACAGGGCAGAGAAATCAGGCCATGAGAAGGGACCCTCAAGCCCAGAACTCTGGACATCTCATCACCCAGACAGACAACTGGATTGACACTGAAATCAGCACTATCAGCTGGATCAACACTGACCCCAGTATCAATATCCCATCAGCTGGATCGATGCTGGAACCAGGACAGATCATGTCTTTCTCTCTCTCTCTTCCTCTTTCTCTACTTAATTCATCTCTCCCTTTTAAATTTCTCTCCTCTTTCACCCTATCCCCTTTATCCAAACCCACTGCCACATGCCTTTATAGCAGGCCAGGGACTAATTCCCCAACCTCCATGCCAAGTATGTACCTTACTAATCAAACTTTCTGATTGTTTGTGGACCCTCTGACTCCTGTCATTCCCTACCACCACGAGCATTTAGGAATTTTAAGTGCTGTCTTCCCCTAAGGGTGGGACATCACACACCTACACCATCAGTAACAATGTGAAGGTACAAGGGCAATGACAAAAGGGACAGCACTCCCACCTCTCTGTGGCTGCTCTGTATTCTCACATGCACACTGATGCACACTTCCAAAAATTACCAGTTTCACTCCTAAAACACTGGAATTATTCAGATGAAAATCTTTCTTTCCTTCTAGATACAAAGGATTTACCAGAAGTCCAGGTACATTTTCTAAGTCTCTCATTTCTACTACATGCTCTGTAAGGAAATAATTTCACGGGAAAGTTGTAATGATTCATTTCTATTTCACTACCAAAGAGCAGGTAACAAAAAACAAGCACAGAAAACTGGATTACAAAAATGTCCCCTCAAAATGATGAAAGCCTTTGCAGTTTTTGTGTCCCCTGCAAAATCAACCAAGTATTCTAATTCATGTCATATCCATTCTTATATCACTACCTGAAATACACACACATGCATCAGAAATTTTGCAACTTTGACAAGAACATTGCACAGAGCATTTTTCTACTGTTAGATCCAACCACTCAAGCTGAATGAAGCCTATTGCTGCTCTTCTCAGCACAATCACTTTGGCTTACCAGTTTCCAGATACCTAATTTTGTTTTTCAAATCCTTCCTTTGCCTCTAAAAAAAATAAAACTCAAGATCAGTTGGCTACTTACTGAGTTTTTCTGTACATCTTGCTCGACTTTTGAAGAAAACACTGAGAGGTCACCATTGAGTATGACCTCAGCCAATGAGTTCACCAAAGGAGCATAATGTATGATTAGAAAAACCTATTAAAAGAAGAGGAAAGAAATATCAGACATATTTACAAAACACATAGAGTTTCACAATTTCAGTCGCTGAACATACTACTTTGACTTTGTTAACTGTTATCCTTAGTTTATATATACAAGTACAACCACTGATAGTTCATTAAATCAGCTTTAAAACACGAGACCATAATCCTCTCTACAGGTATTTGACTTTTCTCTACCTCTCAAGTTACCCAGTTTTAGTAACTCCTCATATGCTTGTCTCCTTCTGAGAAATGCAAATTCTCTCTCCTCATCACCTTTGAGATGAAAGCTGTGCAATATTCTAGCAAGGAACTCCAGAAATTTTTATGAACAACACAACCTGATTATGGCACAGAGCATCCATAGACTTTCTTGGATGCCAATGACTGGCTGGGCCCCAGAAAGTTCTGTGCTGTGCACACAATTGCTGTGCAGGGACTGATGAGTAAACGCCATGCAATAGGCTGAACTGGAGCAGAACAGCTTTTCTGGCTCTGAAACTGCAACAAATTTAGGTCTAGCTGCAAAGCTGCCAGGTACCACAGGGATAAGGACCACACTGCCCTGCCAGAACTGACTGGAGCTTTAACAGAGTTCCCTGTTCACACTAACTACTCTGATTTTGAGCCAAGGCTTCCAAGTCTGGGCCAGCACACAACTGGCTCATGCACAGAACCAGCTTGGGTCCAGTTGCAAGAGCCTTATGTCAGCTTATATCCATTCTCTTCACAGGAATATCAGAGCTGGAACCCTAAACAGTGGCTCTACCTGCATAATTCCCACAATTTCTAAGCCATAAATCCAATCATTGTTTTGACAACACATAACTAAACATTCTTCACAGGTTTTCTGATGTAGTCAGAACTATTCCAGACCTTCAAAAGAGAAGTGATTATTAGCACACAAGGGTGATGCATGTCAAACTTTGGAAAGTCACAACACACTTCAAAAAGACTTTGAACAACCTCCAAATCACTCAGGCTTCTGCCAGTTCAGAAAGTGTAGCCTGACTGTACACAGGCCTGTTTGGGGGAAGTACATCACATGTTATTTTGTGAACAGCAGTGGATGTTAAGCTGCTGGCATATGTCTCTCCAGCACTTGTCTCTAATACAGGAGGAGTACATGGAGTGTATGCCTGGTGTCAGGAACAGAAATAGTCAGCAAGGTGTGTCAGATACTCAGGGGACAGTTTTCCATCAATGACACAATGCAGGTTATAAGGTGGAAAAAGATCTGTTTCTGCCAGTTACAGAAACAATACCTTGATTTTCTATGTCACATCTCATTCTGACACAAAATTTGTTCTCAGTTCTTTATGCTCAGCTCCGTTTTCTTTTGAAAAAAGAATGAAGAACACAGACATAAATCTTGAAGTGACACCTAGTCAACACTTCCACTGAAATCAAGGAGGTTATAAGAGGTCAATTTAGACAACCCTATGCTCCAGATCCCTTTAGCCACAAACTGTTGCTCCCATGGTTTTATCTGTGGTAAATGACTCCCACACCACCACAACTTCCTAGGTTTAAATTAAGGAGCATCAAATTACACCATCCAGAAAAAAAAATTTACAAAAATCACACCACTGGCAAAGCTCTGGAAAAAAAAAAGATGAAATTATGGGCCAGGCCATAATAAAATAACTATTGAAAAACCTCAAGTTCAAATAAAAATTGTAAATCCTATGAATACAAGTCAAAGCTATTTTCAGAGAATGCAATTTAAAAAACTAGTCTCATAGTAATGCACTGAAAACTACAGGGAGAAACGATTCATCTTCTCCATAATAAAAAACATCCACTCTAAAACTCCTAATTTGAAAATAGGTTCCAGAAAGAAAAGGAGGTGGCACTGTAAGAACAAAAAATAACAAGCACATCATTAGAGACTTAGGTCTCAGGCACAATGAAGTGCAAACTGTGAGAAAGTGACATTTTGGTAGTGGTGGTTTGGGTTTTCAAACCTGAAATCTTCCACAGCTTAAGCAGATGCAAATGCAATGCAGCACCTAAATGTCATCTGCCATTTTACCTAGGTCTGTCCTGGGATGTTGCAGGACTGCCAGGTGTGTACACACCCTGTAACCATGGAATGCTCTAAGGTTACCCTGTGCTATGGGATCCTCAGAACAAGGACATTAACTCAAGGAAGATGCTGTTTTGGCTGCCCATAAGGAGAGAAAGATCTTGTCTTTTTTTTTTTTTTTTTCAATGGAAACTGATAGGCTGAAAACTACTTTTGCCAAATTGTCTTGAATGGTTTTGACAAAGCAGATGAAAAGACAACAATTTCAAAGTTACAACAGCACTGCAAAACTTGTCTTGAAAGGACAAATACTTGAAACACTTACTTGAGAAAGAAGATAGAGAGAAACTTGAAGACTTATTTTTGGACGCTCTCCACCCTATGGGAAAAAGTTGTGAAAAATGCTGATTTATTTATACAAAGTTAAAGCATTTACACTGTTCAATGTTTTACTTGAAATAAAAGATTTAATATTGTATTGTTCCACACTCTGTTACCAAACACTCAGACAGCATCGTGCTCTAACATTCACTGCTTGCAAACTGTTCCAAATGGAGACTCTTGGATTGAGGACATCCCTTACTCATTTCCAAAATTGCTATTAATTAGTGCCTTTCATAGTCACTTCAGCAACTTAAATTTAACTGCTGACACTTCTCTAAGCAAGTAAATCATACTGGACAAAAATATCTGAAGTACAACTTGAGCACCACAAGCTTATATACCAGTAGTGCTAAAACTTCACCAAATAAATTCATCAGTTATCTCAAGAGGTAAGAACAGCCCAATTTTATGACTGCAAACATCTCTGACCTCATGACAACAAACAAATGTGCTGAACAGGAGGACGAGCAGGTTTTAGTACATGGAAAGAGTCAGAACAGCTGAAATGAAAGTAAGAGTCAGGAAAATGTCAAAGTCTTATCAATGGCATGACAAGAAGCTGATTGTTATCCAGTCTTCAGTGTAAATGCAACATACTGCACTCATCAACTTGCAAGGAATCTGACCTAATGAAGGGATGCTGAAATTCCAAAGCACTGTGTATCCTAAGAACCAACACCACTACAGATCAAAGAAGGAGAAAAAAAAACAATGGAAAAAGCAAAAAAAAAAAAAAAAAAGCAGAAATAAACTGAACAGTGAATTCTGTATGGTTTTACAGGACAAATGAATGCAAGAACTTGTGCAGGTTCTAAAAGAACAGCTTTTATTCCATTAAAAAGGAGTTTCCCACTAAATTTAAAGGCTGTGCCTTAAAAATAAATGCAGCTATCTCACATTCCAACACAGCTTCTCTGCAAACAGAAGCCTCAAGTATCAACCCCAGAAGCTTTTACTTTCTACCTACTGTGGGTTCTTAGCCACGGAAAGTTTACATATATGTGCTGTGAAAAGATATTCTGAGCTGCTTTGGCCAGGAGACAGGTTACCTTATCAGGAAAGGAAATCACACCTCTCCCAGGGGCAGGGAAATTTAAACCCTGTTCCAAACTTGCCGTTCTTGTCTCCACTACTGCTAGCAGTTATCCATCACGTCATCAAAACACTATTTCTTTGGTGAGTAAAATTTAAGCTCTTGTGCTCTGAAACTCAGTCTCAGGGTATTTCCCTTACAGTCACCTTGTTTCGTGTAAAAGGCAAACACAAGTATCAACAGTACTAAACCTACCACAGCAAACACCTGCTGA